TGTTCAGCAAGTGCTAGGCGTAACTGAGGGTTCACGCAGTGTGAGGGTACTGGAAGTAGTAGATTGATCAAGTATTTTTAATACAATGTTATCTACAAGTTTATATACTAAGAAAATGTTTGAGTCATTATTATTCTACAATGTTCTATAATATTCTAGTATCAATACGAAGAATAGAGAAAGTAAGAGAAAGTACGAGCGAGTCACTACTAGGACCGAGAAGGCTGAGTTCGGGCATGTGTTGACTCATGCACCGAATCAGTGGATACCCAATATCCATAACACCGTAAGAGGAAATCCACGCTTGGACGAGCGAGCTTTGCGCTATCCCCTCCATGTTCAGAACCACATAAAATTAATCCTCTCTAAACATGCACCTGATGTAACCTGTCCTCCATATCCAGGCCCTTCTACTGTTCCAAAAAAAAAACGCGTAAATTCCAAAACAACCTTACGCGTCATTCCGAATTCCACTGCCTTCAACAACACCTGTCGATTCTCTCGACATTCTGTACTTGTTTTATTGAACCTCCCGAGCACTCTTCACATCCCTACAACGGAGGTACGTTAGAATTCGAATACAAAGATATTCGATATACCTTCAACCTGCACGTGTGTTGTTATGCAGATTCTTCCAATGCTGGGGATATTGCACCTATAAATACACCAAAGAATGATAAGACTGTTCATGTGGCGTCAGCCTGTATACGTTTTGTGCTGGCCTGTTGCCGAGTGTTGGTATTGGTGTGAATTGGTATAAAGGGCAGGGGCAGCGATGGCTTGCAGTATAATACAATGTTCACACAAACTGAAGAGTAATCAGTATCATCATGATATAAGCAGGGGGAAGGATGGTAAACTGTCCATATGTCATTCCAAGAAAAAGCGGAAGACAAGTCGAACGAACGGGACTCAAAATTAAGGGAAAACGCCACCACACGAGGCACTGTCTCGATCCATCAGACGTCATACCCGGTCTTGAGGAGGGACGAGCTGTATCACGGCGACTTGAATAAATCAAATCAACGGAGTTTCCTGTCAGAAAAGTCAGCGTGATAAGGAATAGAATGCGGGAGGAATCGAGCCTTGGAATGCCAATGAGAATATGAAACAGTCGAATTAAACATTCTGCACGCCGCTTGGATGGCAGGAAACAGGTGTCTAGTGGATTTAGCGAGTACACGATCAGTGAAAAGAAGTACATACGTAACACAAAACCAGCGGTTTTGAAACGCGGAAGAAAGCAAAGGAAGCGAATACAGGAATGGGGTACGAGACGATGTTGGTGGTGGTAGTGGAAGGTAACGATGCGTGGCCGAAGTCTCACGTAGTCCAGGTACCTTCCTCTTTGATTTCTTCACTGATACCTACTGTGTTCACTCGCTCATTCCATAGCGCCGTGGTAGTCTCTCACTTGTACTGGATGTGATGGCCTCTTGAACGTTCAGCAAACCTCCAGAACTCGGCAGGATGCAGATTCGGGGTGCGACATGTCAATCATTAGCCGATGGTGCAGATATTCGGGTAAGCGAATCGTTCTAATTCGTATTTCCCTTGCTACCATGATTTTATGGTTCTCAGTCTGGAGCACCGGAAAAATGCACCAAGCGCAATCGGTCCTGTTCATGATGGTCCTTCAGAAACGTTGTTTCGAATTCGAGGACCTTCTACTCAGTCTCATACACAGCTGACTTTTGGATCTTTGAGAAACCGGGAGGGCGTCGATGGTAGCTTCTTCTGGTGAGTATTCATCCATTGCTGACGCGTTCATCATTTAATGAAGATAATCCAAGAGGATTCGATGATCATATGCCGATTTTGAAGGTAGGGACCTGTGTAAGCCAAACTTTGGCACGACATTTGGAGTGGATATGAAAGTAAGTTTCAATTCATTTCTAGATACGCCTAAAAGGATTAAGACTTATTTACTTACTCTCTCGGTCCATGAAATCGAATTTTATTGGCATGACTACTACATACAGTTCTCTACACGCTTACTACCTCAAATCTACACGTTGCGCTATTGTTACAATCAATTTCTTTCGTTTTCAAGCGCTTTTACTACCCCTCCTAACGAATACAAGCCTATTCCGGCCTCCGCTACATATCCGGCATCTATCCATGAGCCTAAATTCTGGGTATTGAATCGCCAAACTACAGCAGTCCGCTAATCAAGGAATGACACGTACCTTTTCCCTAAACGGCGTGGCACCGAGCCCTGAATACCAAAAACCCTCTTATTTCAGGTCCTGGTTTTGACCGTCATCCTGAAACAGCTAATCCATGTATGAGATAGCAAAATCAGGGGGAGAAAGGCGACTTATTGGATACTCCAGCTAATGAGTACAAGCAAATTCTCAGTGTCGGCTACTTCCCTGGCACCGAATGACGAACTAACTTCTGGATAATGATTCATTAAGCTACAGTAACTCGGCGGTCAACAGCAAGGCATACCTTTTCACTAAACAGGGTGCTGGGAACCGAAGAGTATTCCATCCTTCGAAAAGGAAAGATAACTCACGGTTCTCTGGATACAGCTTCTCTACACAAGGCAGGTGTAAACTGGGATGGTGCAAGTCTTGATGCCAACAGCCGCCCACCTGCACAATCAATGGGGTTAGAGAAGGGAGGCACGACAACTGAAAACGAGGCTCACGATAATGTCATCTCGACGGCCTTTCTTCCTATAAAGGTGATCCTGTGAAAAGAATTACACCTGAGTATGCAGTCATTATTGCCAATGGAATACAAACCCATGATTTGTTTAGAATGGAAATAGAGGAATTGCGGAAGGAAGAGTAAGTCCCATGTCCAACAAGATCAAAATGGAATCGCTTATGAATGTCACGGCTACAGGCACAATGATTGGCACTTCATGTTCACCTGTGGCGCTGCGAGAAGAATCTATGACCTCATACAGAGGAACTGTCAGGGAGTCGGCCCCGTTGTAAACGTGCCAAATTCGACGGAGATCCCTAGATGTGGGAATGTCAAAATGAATGCCTCTGACTGTGGCGCATGCCTTACCGTTGAACATTAATCCGCATCTCCCGCCTGCTGCCAGTCGCCATCACCAAGTGTCGTTACGAAAGCAATGATTCCAGGGAATGTCGGCCATGTCCCGGGCAAGACGAAGACCCTGAATATTGGGTGTGAGTGCGCCGTTGTCGTGGGTTTTTTCAGTGACTCACCAGAGCGCATATGCAGGGCCTAGATACAATTCTTGAATGGGTTCTATGTCAGAAATTGAGGACTTAACTCAATTATCCAGCTATAGAGGCAGAGGAAAGGTGAGGAAACCACAGCAAAGGCAGCAAGGGTTACCCTGGAAGCAGAAAAATGAGCACATTGAGGAGAGGATGGGATGGGAAAAGTGAAACGATGCGACTGAGTGGTGAACTTTGACCTGAGAACGTCGTGGGCACGGGTTTGCGATGAGATAATACCAGATCACTCGCCTTTTTCCCCAGAACCCCTCATCACAGTGCAGCGTATTCTTTAATGATCATCTGTTCGTCGGTGAAGTTGTTGGTCCAGTGTGTGATGAATGAATGTTTCAGTACATGTAAATATCCTGATGAAATTGACACAGATGAGTTTCGTTAGGGTCTGATAATGAGTCACGAACTAAGGTGTACTGTGTAACAGCTCAGTCAGGTTCTCGGGTCCTGAATTCCTTCTCACTCATTGTCCGACTCCTTGCCATGAAACAGACATAGTTTCTATCACAGCGCCAATTATCCTCGTATAAGATAAGTACAACCGTTGCAACTTCTGGTAATATTGTTTAATCTTGTAGCTAATGCAAACATGAGCTCTGAAACTTGGCACACTCTCTAGTACAACGCAATCCATTGAACTCTCAGACTTGACAGCCTAAGTTTGCCTTTGAATGATTCAACTTATCATTGAAAGAAGAGATGACGTGGAGCGGAATATCAATGCTCTGGAAGACATCTTGGGTAATAATTTCACAAGACAGAGGACTGTGTGCACTTACAGCTTCTTTAGCTCTGCCGTCAAAACTATGGGGTGCGATCTGAAGGACCGGAGGAACCAGATGCCCTCTACACTCTGTAGCCGAGTGGTTAGACTGATTTACTGAGCGCAAATTGAACCTAGCAATTGTGAATTTTGCGAAAATATCACGAAAGCATCCAAAGAAAGTGATTCAATCTGATAAGGAGAAGATGGACAGGATGGAACACTGGATTCTGATTCATACTTGGCGAAGTATTACTAGCGTGGTGCATTTTATTTTACAGGATCATGTTTAAGGCGTTGATGCAACGACGATAGATAGATATTAGGATCTTCCCTGAAAATTGAAAGCAACAACCCAGTAATACGAGAGGAAAGGGGTACATCTGTGAGTTAAGCTAGACTACTCTGAGAAGATACATATGCTCGAATTACATAGCCGTTCAGCACCTGACATGATTCCTTTGCCTAGAATTTTTGTCCAAGATATCCCCCATGGCCCCAACACGTCTGTTCATTCGAAGTCCTTGTCAGACATGGTTTAGATGGAGAACTGAATGAGGTTTTCTCCCTATCCCTCACATGGCACTACTGCTGCAATGGATAGCTTTCATGTAGGGTTCGATTCCCCCCTGGTGCATACGCAGATAGACCCGGATCACGCTTTTGATTCGATTTTTGGCTTTGGATGCTGGTCCTGCATCATGTAAGGAAAATATATATCTCATCCCAGTCTATGGGCCTAATAGCGGGAACACATGACGGTAAAAGTTTTATTTTTATGAGACCACTCTGGGTCGTCGGACAAGTCGAGCGAGTTGTGAAAACAGGGAGCACATACTGTATTTAGTCTGCTGCAGACCACTTCTCATACCATGAAGGGAGGGCAAGTCGTCCACAGTTGATGTTGCGACGATGCGAAGGCTATCCGCACTGACTACCCGGGAATGCCATGGGAACGGATTAGTAACTGGCTAACTCGGCCCGTAACCACACATTCATCTTGGACTGCAACGTCCATGAATGATATCGATACACTCTACAACTTACCTGACGATGTGATGATCTACATTATCGCGTTTCTTTCCGTTCCTGATATCCTTCTCCTCCGCCAGGTGAATATTTCACAGCTAAATGATCCCAGGTGCTAATAATGACAGATATGCAAATGGTTCAACGCACTCACAAGACTACACATCATCTGGACAAATGCATACAAACTCGATATCATCTCCAATGACTACCCCATTCCCGTCGATGACACCGATCTTGAACAGCGCACGCGCCATGCCTACCAACTCGCAACTCGATGGCGAGCAGACCCTCCTCTGATATCAGCAAGCGAGACAAGTTTCACTGGCTCGCCATTATCCGAAATCAAGTTCATACCAGCCTGACAACACAAGTGGCTACTGACTGTATCGAAAGGAATCTGGTCGGTACTGACGATCTAGGATATCATGCACGGGGGGCACAAGTGCTCGGAGTGGTCGCCAAGAGGCACACTGTTCAGTGGGGTGAAGCTGAACACGGATACAGAGTCCGAGGCGAGCATCGCTGTGGCGTTGGATGGGTGAGTGTTTGTTGTTCTGATGACCCATCGCTAACTTGTGTAGATTACAGAGGATCGCGCTCCTGCATCTGGACGACGATGGAGCACTGCATGAAATCCACTCATTCGACATCGACCTCCATCCAGTTACCCTCACTGGTGATATCATAGCCCTCATCGACAACTTCTCTAAGACACTGATCTATAATTGGAAGACCGATGAGCAGGCCTGCCTCGATGAAGGAGGCGACATGCAGGTAACCATTCGCTAACTGTTCTACATATCGCTTATTCATCTCATTCACTTACAGTACGGCCACTGCATCCAAGTCATCTTCACCGCGCTAACCGTCCTCGTCATCCGCGCACGCTCCACCAACTTCTACACTACCCTGCCCTTCCTCCACGGACAAACACACTCTCCCGTTACCTCCCACTCTTTTGGCTGGGTCGCCGGTGCCAGTGCAACATCCTCATCGGTCCTCATCCGCTCCAAGATTGATAACTCCTGGATAACAAGGTTTGACTTGTTCAAACTTATCTCTTCCTTCCTGCCAACCTTCACCAGCGAAAACCCCTGCCGACGCGGCACTCTTCAATGCACAGATGTCATACTCTGGAAACGTGGGACTGCTGTATGGATACGGACCCATGATCCTGCGATGGCCTTCCCCTCCGAAGAACACTATGGGCACGAGACTCTCATGGCTGCCGTATTCCCTGGCACGCTGAACCCCACTGCTCGACCCCGTGTTCGAGAGGTGTGTTCAAACCCGTTGAATAACTGGACCGCGTTGGATTACGATGAAGAACTCGGGAGAATAGCCCTCGGGTCGGGGTTTGGGAAGATTACAATTGTCCAGTTGTAGTGCATATACATGTCCTTTGTGACGTACTGGGTGTGTGACGTCCAAAACTAGGGTTCGAATCCCTTCGGAAGGGTTATATTTTGTGATACTCTTTTTCTTCCTTGCGCCTGAGCTTGAGCTTGATTCCGCATACTCATGCTTCGTGGAAGTAATCGTATTTTCATTACTAGGCCATCTGCCTTTCCACCGACTGACTAGTTATGTGATTGTTATAAGCGGCTAATTTCCACAATGAGCATCACTATGAAAGGAAACTGTAAACCGTCATTCAGAGATAACCCTTCATGAACCTGTGGTTTTATCATGCTGGTTCTCTGGGTTCAAGTCCCAGTCGGAGGATCTCTAACAGAGGTAATGAGTAATTCTTTTTGTATCGTCTTTTTAGAGCTCTTATGCCATGGCAAGGCTTGAGCCAGGACAAGGCTTAGGGTACCACAGAAGAAGTCGAATTGGTCATGTCCTCTTTCTAGGGGTATCTTTGGGTTTTATTTATTAAGGACCCATCCACCTCTTTGTCCATTTTTGATTCAGTGTACTCATTACGCCTCATGCAAGTGATTCGTATTTCCATCACTGAGTCATCTGCCTTTCAACTTTCCAATCACTTGCGTGTTCTTTAAAGGCGGCTTGTTTCTGCAACAAAAGAAACTGCCAAACAAGAATCCATATAATCCTTCGTGATGTTGTGGTCTTATCATACTAATTATCTGGGTTCGAGTCCTGGTTGAAGGATGGCCCTTAGAAATCTCTTTTTACATCTTGTTCGATCTACTTATCATATCAAAGAAACTCTAAGCAAGAATCGAAACACCTCGTCGTGACGTTGTGGTACTGTGATTTATCCTGCGTTGCTTACCTGGGTTCGAGTCCCGGTTGAAGGGTTCAATGTTCAGCTTTGAGCCATATGCATTTTGGTATCTTCTTATCTGTATTAGGAAAAGTCTCACGGTACCAGCAATCTGTCACGTCCTCTTACCAGTGTCCACGATATTTGTTATGCTCTCTGCCAGTATGTACGAGTCTATGTATCGGCTCAGATCCTTACGACGGCTCTAAAATGGGGTGTGCGTGCTGCTGCTACTTGCCTCCCCCTTGCGTACCTTTCCTCCAGAATTCTATTTTCCCTCGAGTCCCCCACTCAGAGTATGCCCTTCTATTTTCTAAGTAGTCGTGGTAATCGAAAGAAAAAGTCTCCTCAGTCCGGTGTTCCTCGATACACGTGCTGGCAATATCAGCATGGCTATGCGGAAGAATGCAGGTCATTCACCCACGGGACACGGGGGTTTGTGTTACTAAGATTTCACGTTTACGAGACAGCAATGGGTGGCCTGCAAAAAGCTTCTCGGGGTGGCGGGACGGTGGTTCGATTCCTCATGGCTGGTGATGTATTGATTGGTCACTCGGGAGACTGATTTTAACCATTCTACTATGGTCCAAATATTTTGCAACCAAGACACCATTCGAAGCGGTACGTTTACTCTATTTCTTGCACCCTTGTTTCGCGGTTTTAGTTGTGGGACCATGTTCCGGACATTTTGCACACAATTAACATCCTGCGCAAGGTAGTGTGACGGTATTCAAGTCATACTGAAATGAGCGTCCACGAATGCGTGGTGTCCAGACTCATAGCATGCAGTTGCAACTATTTCGTCCTGTGTCGTCCAGGAAGTGAGTCTCTCCTCACTTTATGTACCCAAGGTGTTCATTCTCCAAGTCGATGTAGATCAAGGATAACAAAGCAAATGGCTGCCTGTGGTTCGATTCCACAGGCCAGCTCATCATTATTCTGACCTGGACGTTTATTTTTTCTCCTCTGCTTTCATTTCGATGCGAAGAAGATGGGAGGGTGTAGCAGGGGGTTGGTATAGATACACAGATGAATAGATTCACAGGGTGTAGGACTTCTAGCGCATGTCGCACTATCACTTCGGGTGATGGAAGTTAGGCCAAGATCGTACTCGAGTCTGAATCAGATGTTGGTTGGGAGCACGTGTATCTCCTAGCTCTCATGAGCCCAACTACCAGGGGTGTTAAGCATCGGCCTGGTCATGGGTTCGGTTCCATGCCATGGCAATTTTCCAAGTCATCGAATTTTTGCTGTCCCCATAATACGGCAATTCTTTCGAGGAGGATCAAACGATGGTTTGTATATGTAAGAAGGGCCAGTTCGTAAAGTCAAGAGAAGTAAGTTAAAGCTAAGTAATAGTAAGTAAGCATATATCGGTATAGTAGTAGTAGGCATACCTCAGTCGGAACACAGCGTGTGGTGAGAACGACTGAGGGATCGAACGGTAACTACGGGGTATATATACTAGTCGTGTTGAAGTATAGGGGTGGTAGGAAAAGAAATAGTCCGTACGGCGGTGTACAATATAGGTTAGAGTCGGGTATCTATGTCGGGGTGCACGTGTCTCCTTCAACAGTTCGTTCAGTGTGCATTTGAGCTTTCAGTCGATGGGACCATAATGTAGGTGCGTACGCGGATATTCATTCTTGACGTTAGTTGAATATACTAAATTGATCATGGCTGTGCATAGAAGTAACACCAGCATCGTGGGTTCTTAGTCCCAGGTCCACGAGACCTCCTACACACTTGGTCAGAAATGACATCTGAAAAACGAAAGGTAAGTGTACCTTGAGGGCAGGAAAACGGTGGCCACCAAAAACGACAATCAGAGAAATAATGAACCGGAAAGCAGCTACGCCGTGAGGGTTGGTTTCGAAGAGTATTGAGTACCATTGCACCAATCCATCGTCTCATAGAAATGGTGTCGTGTTTGGCATCAAATTTCTTATCGATCGATGAACGAAAGACCCTGCTTTCGTAAAGATACCCCAATCTCAGATCTTTCGTATACTGCTCGCTGGATGTGTTTCCTCCCGAATTACCTGTTCGTTGGAAGGAGGCGTATTATTGCTAGATTCTCTCATGATATCTAGGTGGAAAATGGTAAGCGGACTGTGATGGAAGATAGAGGAGATGTTATACCTTCATAGGAACGTCCCTACTCACCCACCTCCCTAGAACAGGAAAGTTCATCCGGCCGTAGATTTCTCTGTATGCACGATCAGAAAGCAAACCTCCTAGAGATAAAGAGCATACCTGGAGCATGGCAATAGTAAACATGTACTGTAATGTCTCGATGAGCTTCTAGTACCTGTTATGCTTAGCAGATTATCCTGGCTAGGGGAGCGTTAGAGGTTAGTGCGTGCTTTCGGGCTTTTTGTCGGGTGCGGCAAGATCAGATATACGAAGCAGAGCTGCTTTGTACGATACTGGTGCCACCGTAACGAATATATATCATTCCAAAGAAGTTACTTTCCGGCTAACTGGACGGTCTTTCTCAACGTAATGCTAAAGGTTTTCTACTATGCGGCTTTGTTAGGTGGAAGGCACAGGAAGAAGAGTTCGATATACTTTGGCGAATACCTCTCAATACAGTGCGACAAGACCTCTGGATAGTTGGCTTCTCGGCTGTGGGGGAGACAGCCATTGCCGGTGAATGACCTCGCTGATGAGATCTTTTCACGATGGTAGATGACAGCCGATATTTCTCTCACTGTACATAGGGTCAGAAACTATGACTGATAAACGGACTGAGAAAACGCACCATCTTTCATGAATAAGACGAGAATATCCATTGCATGGAGGTGACCCCGTGGACGGGGTTTGTTCAAGCAGCCAACAGCGAATTTTACCACTGTACATACAATCAGATATTATGGTTGATAAATACGCCGAGAAAACGTACCATCTACCAAGGAAAGATTTAATCTTGATAGGCCAGAAGGGGTTTATGGTGCAAGCCAACCTGTTAGAACAAACACGATTCAATGCGGGCATTTTCGCGTTTTTTATTTCGCTGGGGATCGACGTCTCGTCTCGTGTGGTAGGCAGGTTTGAGGGTTCGAAAGGGTGCATCGGTTGTCTCCCTGGTAACGGAACGCTACCCGGATTGGGGAGTTGATGCTGGTCGGTTTGACGCATAGTGCTTCTTCTGTCTGTTGGTCCAGCTTTGCGGATGAGTACGAACCCTGCTTATACTGTGTGAGTCACTCGGTTAGAAAAGTTTGTAGGCGATGGATGTACGCACCTAAGTTCAGGCGGCCATGCAGTCTTGTCCTTGATGCACCTGCCGATCGACCTGACCATCAGTGTATCAGTGTTTGTCTGACAGTCTGTAGCTGAAGAATGAAGCGGGACTCACCGACAGAGCTTGATTGGCTGGCCTTCCAGGAGAAAAAGTCACAAAGCAGATCGGTATTATTGCGAGCAGAAAAAGAACAAGCCAGCGTTTCATTACGAGGCCAGAGTTTTTGTCAATAAAACTTGATAAGACATTCAGGGATTTGCTAGCACAATGTTAGGGTGGTCGACTTGGCAGGATGTCATGCTTATCTGATGACGATCAAGGCAAAATCGGTTCAGGGGGCGGTGAACCTGAGAACGAGAGAACAGGATAAAATTTTGAAATCCGGGACAATATCGTGGTCAGGTGATGTCGTGAGGGCAGGTCTGGTCGCGTCTTCCGGAATCTGAACCAATGGGCACATTGGCGCTTCATGCTTGCGACTCACTAGTAGCTGTTACCGATCAGTGGTCGGACCTTACGACATTTAATCGCTGCAATCATTTTTATACGTGCGCTTTCATTTTGTTAAAAGATCTGTTCTTAGTGGCGTGAACAATGTCGATGAACAAGTCTTATAACTCCTGCAGCCGTGAAAAATCCAGATCGGAAGAATTCCTGGGATCCAGCACTTATTGTGAGAGTCAGAATGTCGAGTAGATCACTGATTCATTGAAGATTTTTGCAGTAGCAATTGAGAGACAGAATCAAGATGGAATTGGAAATTGACATGTGTACCTCACGTGGGGAATTTGATCGATGCTATTTCGTAATTCTGGTCTTTGCTTCCTTCCCTCACTCGGCGGAGACGCGCGATTCGCTTCTTCCTCAGATGGTAGCTTCAAGTCAGTGGGAAGATGATCTAACGGAGATGAAAACGAACCTGATGTACGTTACATCGGTATGCGTCTGGGGACTTGAAAACTGACTTTATTTCCAGATTACTTACCATGCGCAACGCCTCCGGCTTTTATTTCAGGCCATCCTAGAACACGACTATCCTTCTCCAAGGAGATCAACATCAACAGTATCTCATCACAGGGCATATATCGACGTTCCTTTTGGCTTTCGCTGACCCTCGCAGGTGCATATTCTCGCGACGAAGAATCGTCTGGTTTGTAGGAAGAGAAGAAGGAACAGGGTCGATAGTGATGCGGTTGATGCGCAGTTAGATTGGGCGAGCTTGATGGATGACTGTGAAGAAATGCGACTACGCCAGGTAAGACTTTCTCTCGCTTCCCGGCACGCATTACTGACAGCGAGAATCCAGACGTGCAAACGTTTCCACATGCTCAGAGGACTCCACAACGATTTCAAACTCGACATCCTCTCCAACGACTAACCATATTCCTGCGATGAAGTCGTTCCCGAGCACCACATGCACCACGCTCCTGCTGGCTCTCCTCTCCCTGAGACCACCCTCACCAGATCCCCTGTATCTGAAACCCTCCAAGGTTCCCGGCTCCTAGCTGTATCTAATGGGAATCTGGTCGGTCCTCATGGTCTGCATTATCGGATGCGAATACCAGTCCTGTTATGGATCTGCCAAAATCCGGATATGCGAGCACGAGGCGAGGAGTGATGATCGAAGCGAGGTATGATTAATGAAAAATGATGTACGTCGTTAGGGAATATAATGGATTCCGGCAAGGGTTCGTGAGGAGACCTAAGAGGTCCTGTTTGCGAAATAAAGAGATCAGCAAGCGCGAAGCAATTACTGAGGGAAATAGCCGGTAAGCGCGGAGCAATTACCGATATAGAAAGCCTGTAAGCGTGAAGCTATTACAGGCCGTGGGTGAAGGCAAGCGCTAAGTGTAACCTTCGGGTTGGTGTCAGAAAGCGCTAGGCGTATCCAACGAGTTGTTCAGCAAGCGCTAGGCGTAGCTGAGGGTTCACGCAGTGAAGGTGTCCTGAAAGTGGTAGATTGGTAGATTGATCAAAACTTTCTAATACAATGTTACCTACGAGTTTATATACTAAGGAAAGATTAGAGTCATTATTATTCTATAATGTTCCATAATATTCTAGTATCAATATGAAGAATAGAGAAAGTAAGAGAAAGTACGAGCGAGTCACTACTAGGACCGAGAAGGCCGAGTTCGGGCATGTGTTGACTCATGCACCGAATCAGTGGATACCCAATATCCATAACAAGTCCTCAGAGTGGGCCCTAGAAACGCGTTGTTCACCAGGGTGAAGCTCAATGCGGAACCTAAATCCGAAACGAGTATCTTAGATAGGTAAGCGCTTGTTCATCTTAGGAACGACGACTAATGCATGTAGGTTACAGAGGATCGCACTCCTGCATCTGGACGACAACAGGAACCCTGCATGAAGACCACACCATCCATACCGACTTTCGCCCAGTCCTAGTCAACCTCCCAGGTAACATCCTAGCTCTGGATCTGACCAATGACCCCTCCAAAATGCCGTCGTACAACTGGTGGGCCGGTGAACACACATACCTCAATAGCATAGGTAAAATGCAGGTGCGGTTCCTATGACTATTATAATCACGCTTCTTCAACTCATCGACTCACAGTACGATGTCCGTATCTAAGTCATCCACAACCCAGCCGTCACCCTTGTCGTCCGCGCCTGCTCTATCACTTTCTACAACACCTACCCTCCCTCGTCGGCACCAGGCATGCCCACTCCATCAAATGGAGTCGACAGCACCAGCACGACACCCGCCTCCGTCCTCATCAGCTTCACAAACAACAACCCTGGGCATCTGAACTAACTTTCCTCTCCCTCTGTTTCCTCACCTCCTGACGCGGAGCCCTCCGATGCCTGGACCCCTTCCATGGTCGCGCGATGGTCCGACACACCGCTATCTCTGCGGCCATCGCCCAAGTCCTCGTTCTCGTCGAACAATTGGACGGCGTTGGATTATGATGAAGACTGGGCTCGGGGAGATCACACATGCTCTTGTTCTGTTCAGGGATGTTCCACTTGTGCACCTTCGGAATCGGGACAAACCTCACCGACACCATTCGCCACAACTGGTTTTTCTCTGGGTTCAAGTACGCTTCATGATGGGTCCGTCGTCTTCTATCTCATGCACATACATCTCTATATAGGCCGACAGGATCTTCTCGGCATGGGGTGCCAGAAAGAAATGAAGGTACAAAGTGGAACCCCGCACACTATTCCGCTCGTGCACGGACCCTCGACGCATTTCTGTGGGAATCCGCCAGACTCTCCTCGTGTGCTACGCCGACCACTACTCGCTTCTCTTGACAAATTCTTGTCATCGTGCACAATGTTGCTCCCTACGCATTGCGCACTAGCGCGTCATCGATTGCGGTGTGTCCCTAGTGTAGAGGTTTTGTCAAATAGGTAAGCACTCGTTACTCCGATAAACAATGGCTGGCTTATGTAGGCCACAGAGAATAATGCTCCTGCATTTCGATGACAACGGAACCCCACACAAAATCCAGTATAGCGACAACAGTATCTGCCCTCGCCGTCGACATCCTTGGGAGACCGGCACGTGCGAGACTTAGGCGACGTGTAGGTAAGCATACTCTAGCTCTTCTAATCATGCTTACTCATATCTTGTGCCCACAGTACGAACGCTATATCCAAGCCATCTTCACCACACGCGCCATCCTAGTCCTCTGCACGCGCCTCCATCAACCTCTACACCGTGCTCTTCTCCGCTGACTTCATACAAGTCGTCTTTGCCCCGACTTCATCCACACCCAACGACGCTCTCTCCATCCTCATCTGGTCCGATATGACAACTGAGTCTTTCGCTCCAGCTCTAAATTATCCCTTTGTGCATTATGAATGAACGCGCCACAGCGAGACAGTATCCTGTCGTCCAGCACTCTAATACACCGATATTGTTCTCAGCAGATAGAGAACGGCAGTATGCATCCATTAACACATGGAGGAGCATAACACCGGGAGAACACCGGCCGCAGTCATATTCCTAGGTCAGCTTATGGCGGCGTGAAGAGCTTGGAAGGGTCTGGGTTTCATGTATCATTCGTGGTACATTGACTAGGTTGCGTCCACTATCATGGTTTTATCCCAAAAGTGCCTGTAGCTCGATATGTAGACCGGCTTTCCGTGGTTTGACTCTGCGGAAGGGCTATTTAATGCTTCAGAGAATCATAACCTTCTTTTAGTTCGAAACAAGGGTGAAAAGCGTGATGTGTGATTACGTTGTAAGTATTGCCGCTTAATTCCTGAGATTCGGGATCGCCAGGATCAATAGTAGACTGGTGCGGAAATTGGAGCTGCGGGAGTGGACTACCTCGCTTACGGAACAGTTTCATTTTGATGTTGTGTCGATAAGAGGTTTCAGACAACGGTGCAGGTCCCTCTTGATCATGACGCGAGTAGTACTTATGTCCAAAAGAAGAGCATGCACGGTTGCCGGCGGCAACTCGAAGCTCGGTTTTTCTCTTACCATCATCCTTCTTTTTCCTATTATTCCCATTCTACCTCTCAGCTGAGATCCTTCAAGACGATTTCTACGCAGTTTCAAGTCGCCGGATAATGTTTATGAATCAATTTTCCGTTGATTTTTTACGGTACTAACCTTACATTTTAACTGACATTTTTGACTGTCCAAAAGCTCAAGATAAACACGAAATCTGGGAAAGAAATTGCCCCACGGAGAGAGAATACATGCTGACAAGGAGGGGTTCAACATTGTGTGATGCAGAGATAGCGCATTGAAGATGGGCTCCAGGAGATAAAAAGTGAGTTCACTTGCATGCCCAGCAATGCATCTCACTGAAAACCTTCTCTCCACAGAACGACCTCTGTCGTCTTCTCTCCATGCCACTAAGACTCTTTCGACAACTGCAATTGCAAATTCTTGACTTCTGTAGTTCAGGATGAGCCTAGCTTCGAGCTGGAGGGCCGGATTTTGCGCTGAGACGACGTATCGTTGTCCAGCGAGCAGGATTATGGACACGCAGAGAGGCTGGTCACCGCGAACAGAAGGGATTGTGAAACTCAGAGTGGGAGGATAAGGAGAATGGTAAGTTCTCTTACTCCCTGCGCACGTTAAGGAGTACTTATTCCGATCAGTGCGAGGTGCCGTCCTCCCTCGGTATGGACTGACACGTGAAAGACCTATATGTGCACACATCCTCCCTCGTCGTCTTCCTCCCTATACTGCCGTACTCCAGACCTTGCTCGCCAGACAATGATACGTCGTCTCGACGTAAAATGGCCTCCAGGCATTGCCTTGATACTTCGTCAAAGGCTGAGCTTGAGCTGGTCACTTGGACGACAGTCTCAAAGCTCTAATCGGGCTAGGATAGGTGGGTGAATGATCGACCATGCGAGTCAATGAGAAGTACTTACATCCGCCCCGCCATTTCTCTCTATCCCATCCACAACGTCTCTTTCCACCAATTATGCTCGCTCGACTGACACAGATACATTGTCTCGATGCAAAATATGAGTCTTCACGGGTGCACAACCATGCTCGCAGGTGCGAACAGGCGGGGAGGGGTAAGTCCTTTTTGTGCATCCACATCCACCACCACTGACTCGACTCTCCTGTAACTCGATCTCATTCTCCTTCTTCACACGGTGACTTAAAACACTGAATATCGAGTTCTAACGTTGCTGAGTTCTTGGAACGTGAGGTCGGCATCATCTAGGAGGTATGTTTGCCCAGACACAAGGAACGAACGTCCAGTGAGCAGGGATTGTTCAGGAGGAACTTCATACGAGCGTGTGGTAGGTTTGTCCCCTCTACAATTAACTTTGATTGAATTCGCGTGTCCAGATTCACGCGCACTGTCGGCAAGCCCCGTTTTCGCAGTATACATCGAAGCAGACGTAGACGTTCGAGAGAAGTTGTGAGTTGCTTGCTTATTGGCCGGGTGTGGATGGGGATTTGAGGTGTTATTCCCCAGGCCTGGAAAACATGGTCAGGAGGTTAACAGATTGTCTAGCGATTGAATAAGAATAGCTCCTGTGAGTACAGAATCCAGCTAATGCGGTTGCCTTCGCCATTTCGAACGCCTTTCAAGGGTAGTCGAATCTTCGTAGCAAAGTACTGGCTGCAGTCGTAAACCCGTTTCCAAAGTTATAATATAATGTGGGTTTTTAAAATTGTATTCATCAATAGTACGGAAATAAATTTGAGTGGGCTTCTAATAGCTATGGGGTGGAGATGGGATATCGACGTCGTGTAGATCAAATGTCGAGCATAATTGACGAGGTACTTCTGGATAATTTGGGACATGAGAATGACGGCTAACAATATGACTTGGTTCACCTTAAATCCTACTCGAGGAAAAAATAGGCTTACCTCCCGTCAAGCCTCTGGCTTTTCCGAATGTATGAAGGGCCGTATCGACCTCGTTCTACAATCCCAACTGTTCAACATACCCCCGACCCGTCGGACCATATAATCCGGTCGTATGTGCCTCATCCACGACCATATAACTATACGCCTTCGGTATATACCGACAGAGAGTCTCGATGATCTGTGGTAAAGGAGAGAAATCCCCATCCATACTGTACAAGCTTTCCACTGTGACAAACACTGTCGACTTGCCAGCCAAAATCTCTGGATGATTTCTCAAGAGCTCGGCTATGCAGTTCTCAAAAGACGCGACAGAGTTATGGGAGAAGGGGTGTGTGTTACGCGTCGGTGCTGCCGCAATCCCGTCCCCCACCGACGCGTGAATGGGTTTGTCAAATACAATGATGTCCTCTACCGGGGTACACACCTGAAGAACGCGCGCGACGTTGACCTCGTAGCCAGAGGTAAACATGAGAGCTGCAGGAGCGTTGAAGTGGGTCTGGAGGCACTTTTCCGTCTCTGCATGACTTGGGCTGTTCCAGTTCGGGAGACGGGAGCCCGTAGAGCCGAGCGACCTTTTTGACGGGATGAGAGCTTTGAGAACATCGCTGTTCAGCTGAGGATTGGGGGTGATGGAAAGGTAGTCATTGGAACAAAAGCCGGGGACGTTGGTATAGACTGCCGGGTCAATATCATCAAGCACCGGCATTCCGATTTTAACTCGCTTGTCCAGGCTCATTTGCAGTGTGATTTCAAGTGGGGTATTCATGACGATGGGCTAGCGAAACATGGATATTCTAGGAACCTTATTTAGAATATAACCTCATCTCCTCTCAAAAATTTCAGTGCCAGGGGAACGTGCTGTATTCGCGGTGGTTATTATAGCCCCAACATCTAATGTCCGGATCTGGCGATCTCTGATCCATTAAATTCTGATCGGTCTTGCGGTTCTCTGTTTTTGAGGTTTTGTTGACTTTAGCGCACGCTTCTTCTGCCATAGGTATCTTCCTTAATCGTTACTCAATACGGCGATTGGTATGGGGTTCAAGTGTTTCAATGTCAAATCCCTGATGCTTTTCCAATAAGTGAATCGAGGCAGCTGTTACACCAGCCTAGGCTTATGTTATCAATTGAGTTGGAAGACACACGGAGGGTGACAACGGACATGAGGGCTGCTTTGCAGAACTTTGAACTTGGAAAGGTGCCGAAAAGCAGTCGACCGATATCATCCGTGGTACTATAAAGGCATCGTACTGCAATAGTTCATTTTATTTGCCAACAAGTCCCAGTGCCAAGAACAATATGGCATTGCGCAGCATTTTCATGGACTCCCATGCCCTTTATGCATGCTTCCAATGTGATGGGTATGTACTCCTAATATATTATATACGCACCAGTCCTCATGTTGGTGTTTACAGGGAATCATCTAGGTTTGCATTTTTTTCATCTATGATCTCCACTTTGACTAAATTTCTCAATAGTGGTCTCTCAGACTCCGGCCTAGAGTACGTGAGCTCTACAACTGACCTGAAAGCCAGATGATGACATGCGACACATTACAGATGCACCTCTCACAGAAGACAAATCGTCACAAATGGAGGTTCTGCGACAAACGGATCGGACAAGCCAACTCAGGCTGCCTCTGAACATAAACCCTAAGAAGCAGAGGAAGCGGAGACAAGTCAAAGTCGCATAGTGGGAATGGAGCATTTAGGATGCCTGACAAACAGGGTGTTCATGAGACATGATGTTCAAATTGAACGAAATAGTACAGTGATATTATTATAAGCACCTAGTGATGGAAACCAAATCCGCTAGATTGATAAAAAAATTCTACCACAAAAAGTGGTGTCGTTATCGAAATACAAGAATCCACTTCCAAGGTTGTTACCAGTACCAGGTCCCAATAAGGAATGATGGTGGGAAAATTCGTTCAATATGAAATCGGCATCTTGATCTAGATGCAAAGCATCATGCCCCTGTCATTTCTATTTATACCACTATAAATACTTACAATGTTCTACAGGGACCGTTTGCCAGTGCGGCGACTACTACTACTATTACAAAGGAGGGGACTACTAGAATGTTCGTGTGGACGATGCGGTTTGGGTGATAAGTTAAGTTGAGCATTCTCACAGCATCCTTTCATGCTCAATACCCGAGCTGGCCACCATCTCATCTTATGCCAAGATCACTGTGGCCAAGTGCGTGAGTTAGAACCTATGACTGAGAAACATAGGCCCGGTTGCTCTCTCCCCCTCGAACTGGCCTGCTAGACGGACTCACTGCGAACTTCGATCACGATCTGTTTATCTTGATGAATGGTTTTGAGGATATGAACGGTGTGTATATCGGTGATAGGAGAAACATTTCTGTCGATGTGGCGAGAGACTGCATGTCATGGTTAAGATGAGATGAAACGAGTCGAGTGTGAGGAATGATTATGAACACCCGGGTTGTCGTACACAAGGCTGCAAACATTCCAATTGGTAGGGTAGAACACTGGCATGTAGATAGCACTGCCAGGTGAGATGGAGATGAAACAGGTTCTACCCCAATGAGCTCAAGGAGAGCATTACGAACAACTAGTTTATGATACACAATGTTAAGATATCAAATACACTGCGCTTCCGACAGCCATCATCGTTCTGCTCCTTTCCGTAGTATAATTCTATTTTTAGTGGTTAGTGTACAGCCCGGGTCGGGTTCGGGTCTCATTTTTTGCACCTGTCCCAAACCCGAATAAACCTGTCACCCATACAATGGGTCATGGGTCAATGATGGGTCAGCAATGGGTCAGCGACGGGTCACCCAAAGGTGCATGGGTTGCTGGGTCACCCGTCCCGTATATCTCAATGACGAAAGAGTATAACATTGCTAAGTAAAGCTATGCTAGATCAAGTTAATGAGAGTATTATATATCTAAAAGAATGTAAAATAGACCATCAATAAGTCTGAGAGATAGTGAAAGTAAAACCGTAAGGTAAACAAAGAGGTCATTGACTCGTCATCATCGTCGTCAGAGGGAAGAGTCTGAAAGGAGTCACATAGTAAAAGAATGAGATGGGCTTGTTTTTCGAGGGTATATAAACATAGTGCAGGTTGTCAGCCTGCAGAGAACATTAAATGAATCTTCCGTAGCCTAAAAGCATTGTATCATGCACCTATTTTAATTCAACTGAGATAGTGTCCCAGCCATCTGGCATCAGGACGTCACCATCGCCATCGTCCTCCTCCTCTGGTACCTCTGGTAGACGAGCCACAGCCAGTATGTCCTCATCTTGAACAAACCCAAGCCTGCTCCAATCGCCAAGACACATAAGTGCACGCGTTGTTTGCGCAGTGAGATGGTTGCGAACATGAGGCAGGAGGAGTCGTCCACGGCTGAAGACTCATTCTACGTCGACAGAAGTAGCTAAGGTAAACATTATTAGTACAGCACAATTATCATGAAAAGTGCATGCTCACCAGGGATAGTCAGGTAATCAAGCGCCATCTGAGACAAGGCCAGGTACATGTGGCGGTTCTTGAGCCACCATGCTATGACATCCATGGTAGCCTCGGTAGGAGCTCCTAAGTATCGAGTTAGTTTGTCCAGGGCACCAGTCACAGGTGTTGGGGCAATGGAGAGGTTATCAAAGATATTAGCAGAGGGCTGTATGTTTCGTGAGTGATATGATGATTTAAATGGGGCAAGCATGCACCGTAATAACCTCCACCACTTCTTCTACAACAGCATTATAGTGGTATATAAAGTAGCGTACCTTGCAATTGAGTGTTAACAACCAACTAATCGTCGACTTAGATCAAACTAGGATCACCACTCGCACTTCGGTGGTAGATACTCTAGCAGGTCAAAGGCGAAGTCAAAGTCGACTGTGGGCACGTAGACACGAAGAACGGAGTTCGAGTTGGGTAGATTAAACCTTAGCTGAAGCTGGGGTTTAGACCAGTGGAGGCTCTACTTAAATACAAGTGGATATGCTAATAATAGGACTGTGAGAAATGATCTGTAGGGATCGCATATGAGTAATCAAGCTGAGTAAAACGAAGAAAAATGAATAAACCGTAACATTACCCCCCCTTTAAGATTCATTCGTCCTGAATGAACTGTCAGACTCGTATTCAGAAACAGTGTAGGGTGTGGAAGGTGAGGGATCTTCATCTTCCCAATTTTCTGATACTCGTTGAAGGTGATCAACGTCAGAATCGTCATCGTGGGCTGTGTTTGGAAGGATCGGTGGACTTTGGTACGGCCTATGCTCGCGTTGACTGTTGTCAATCTCCTCTTGTCGTCGTTGGAGATATGAATCCCTGACCATGGGATCGTCAAATCTCGGTTCGAGCTGGCGTTGAGGACGTGGTGGGATGTGCTCATTGGTTATGTCTGGATTTGCCCACACCCACTCCTGATTTTCCTTCTGTAGGTGATCGTCCATGGAGTGAGCGATCTCTTCTACCAGCCTCTGAAACGAGGATGTAACCGATATGGGTCCAACCCTCGTCCTCTCCTTTGCTGTGTATGTATCGTCCATTGCGTTGAGTTCTTCGGAGTGTGCTGGGGTGGAACATTGAGAGGATGGAACCGTGGATACGTCTGTAATGCATGGGGTATCTGGTTCGTGGTAATCCGGTAGATTGTTTTGGGGTATATTGGTGTCGATTCCGACCATTTTTCCTTTGTTGTTGACCTTCCACAGGACCTTTTGGATACGAGCCTCGTAGTCGTTCACGAGTTCCTCGGCATTGGCCATGTCTGAACGTTTTACCCAGGAGTTTTCCTCCATTGGGTACCCTTTCCATTTTACCAAGTACTCAGTTATGGTTCGGTGGGTACGTCCACAACCAATGACTTTGTCGCGCTCCTCCACAATTTCTTCTATTTCGTATTCTTCTTCATCATCTATTAATTTGGGCGGTGGCCTTTCCGGACGTGGTTGATTGGGGAATTCGGGGATGTGGTACGGTGTCAGGAGGGATTCGTTGAATCGGTTATGAATTTTCCAGGCTACTGGGAGTTTGAGTTTGTAAGTGGAGGCACCTTTCTTTGATAGGATGGTGAAGGGTCCCACGTGTTGGTCTCCAAGTTTTTTGGCGGGTCGAGGGAGATTTAGGTTGGCGGAGTCCAGCCATACCTTATCGCTGACCTGGTACTCGACCACCTCGTTTTTGTGTTTATCGTAGGCCCTCTTCATAGATTCTGCTGCCCGTTCCAATGATTCTCTGGCCTTCTCTTGAACCTCTTTAATCCCCTCCACTAATTTGGACGTGGCTGGGACACTATCCAGTCGTTGGGTGATCTTGATAACTTGTCCGTCCCTTCCAAAAACTACCTTGTAGGGTGAATATCCCGTAGCCGAATGTTTTCGGTTGTTATGGGTGAAGGCGGCCAGTGGTAGCCACTCACTCCAGTCATCTTGTCGATAGTTGACGAACATCTTGAGGTATTTTTCTATCTCCTGGTTGACCCGCTCTGTTTGCCCGTCTGTTTGAGGGTGGTAGGCGGTGGAAGGATTCCCTTCGACCTGTATGAGCTTGTAGAACTCCTTCATGAACTTCAAGACGAAGATGGCGCCTTGATCTGAGATGACCTTCTCGGGCATCACTCCGTAGGGCACATAAATGTGGTCCCTTAGGATCTTAGCGAAATTCAACGAAGTGAGTTCCTCGGTGCACGCGATCAGGATGATCATCTTGGAGAACCGGTCG